TCTCTCTCTCTCTCTCTCTTTCTCTCTTCATCAGAGTCGTGGTGTTCACTGACCTAAACCCTGAACGATCCCCTGAAAATTGCACGCTGCGAATATCGTGAAACGCGGTGCCAGTAAACACGTGCATTCGAGATAGCGGGACATAATATACTCACGTCTTGGGCAGAGAGAATCCTCGTGGCAGACTGAATGGTCGTGCTACCCGAGTGGGGTCGATGATGCAAGGATTCGGCGGTATTGTCTCGAGAGTAGACACTCCTGTACCAGGGCAATCCACTTGAACTGTCTCGTCTGTTCCGGTATTTCCTCCACACGTGCCTGCAAAACAGAACAAACCAAACGGTTCGGTCGCTTCTTGTTCGTTGAAATATCCGTCCCTCTGTTCGCCTCTGTTTAACCACGCTATTCGTGCTTTTCTCCATTAAAGAGAGGGAACTTCGAGCCTGTTCGAGTCTACGCTTCCGTACGCTTTGAAAACTGCCGGATTTCCTCGCGATTTTCTGCGGAACATCGCACCGTTCGGCTGGAGCATGCAGCGAAACTAGCGCTTGATTTAGCATTGTAATTCGGTATCAGAACGAGGATGTTTAAACATGCACGTCACACGTACAAAATGGTCAAAGTGTGCTACTTGTTGTGATGAAAGAAATTTTATTACAGTGAACGTGTCAAAATGTTCAAAGTATATTATTGATAATGAAAGAAATCTTTGCAACTTTGCATCTAAAAAAAATTGTAAACTCGCATATGAAAAATATGTAGTCGAATTTTTACTTGATATACTTTGAAAGTGGTTCTGCATTTATGGTACTTTAAGTATGAGTATATTTTAGTTTTATATCGTAGAGATAGAATGGAAGTAAAATTATAGATTTAATTTGCGTGCGAATAATTTATTAAACTATATATTCAACGCGCGGATAATGAATTAAATTATAGATTTAAATATAGATTTAATCAAATTAAAGAAGAAATCTTTGATATTCCCTACTTTGAGTTTATAAAAGTTGAATTTATTACTTCAATTCGGCAAACATGTCTTTAAAATTCACGAGGATAAAAATTTAATACTTGAGGGAATTTGAAGATATCTTTTATACAACGTTCGATAAAGAAATTATTCAATATCGTTCTAAAAATATTGAAATTGTAAAAATCATGATTAACGGCTTTGCTCGATAATTTCATCAGATAAAAAAAAAAAAAAATGAGCGAACATATCGGGTAAAATTTCGGAAAATTCAATGCGGAACGTCGGCAGAAATTCAACGTTGTAATTTTTTCTCTAACGGAGCGCAGATTTTGTAAAATTTTTTCATGGAATAGAGAATGAACTACAAAAGCCGGTAATTAAATTCCACAAAAACGCGAACCAAAATCAAAGAGCAAATTCAAGAAAAATATACCAAAAATTTAAAAAAAAAAAAAAAAAAACGCTACGGAAAACTGAATTCCGCTTTTAAAAACTCGTCGTTCAAATCGCATTAGATCAAAGTGAATCGTACAAAAAGAAAACAAAAATTGGTTACTTTCGAAATGATGTTCGATGAAATCTCCGTGTAAAAACAAAGCCAGATGTATGTTGATTAAATACCAGAAAATTTTATTCGGAAGAAAGAAAGAGCGACCTGATATTTAAAAGAAATTTAATCAACAAAGCGAAATGAAAGCGATTGGAGGAATTTTTTTACGGCGCGGAGAGAGACAGAGAGAGAGAGAGAGAGTATATCTCACCACGAAAATGGAACGAGAAAATTGAAACAGTTAAAAATGAAACACGACCTGCTTCGGCCAACCAGTCGGTCACCGCTTAATGAATGAGTGATACACGTTCGTTTTAATTAGTAATCATCTCTTGCGCGTGAACCGCGTTCGATGCGTTTTAGTTTGATCCCGCTTATTTGCATAGAGCGCAATGGCAATTATTTCGACTGGGAATCTCGAAATCGTACTGCTCGGTCCGTTACAGCGTAGTAGAATTTCGATTGAAACTAGCCCCGGTTACGCGAGCTTCGAAAATAATTTGAATACATCTACCGCGGCGGTTGAACAACTGTCGAATAAATTGTTCCCATTCTCCTGAATAGATCGGGCATTATCCTCCGGTTGGCAGCCACAATTTCAGCAATAACGCAGGATTATTGTTCCTACTCTCGGTTACGACGAAAATTTGCGAGCACGTGCAGCACCCAGACAGATCCGTGGAATCGGTTTTTATTGCAAGGACGGCATTAACGGTGCCCACCACTTAGGCCGGAGTTAATTTTTCGGGATCAGGAGATATTCATTGAAATTTACACGCTATATTCACTGCCCGACGATCTCGCTGTGAATGAGAGCGAAAGAAGATAAATTCGAATTGAAAACATGGTTTTGAAAGACGGATTGAAAATCTAATCTTTTCAATACAGACAGGCTGTCTTTAATAGTTTTAAGAGTATGCAGTATTCATTGGAATAAATAAAAGGTCAGTTGTTCAGTGTATTATACCATGCGTTTTCACATTTGTAGCTTTCGCGTTTCACTTTATTCACTTAAAGAACATTTTTTATTATTTTGTTACTAACGAATATTATTTGTAGCTGAATTTTGGCCCAGTGGTTTCTTCTACCGCTTTGTGTAAAAAACGAGCCCGCAAGAAAGAATAACACTTTGCCATTTGGAATTGAATCATCCCAGAAACAAAGCTATATTCTATGAAAAAAAATTTCGCTCAACATTTTCCATTTATTTTCTCGCAAAGAGTGTTCTCCCGCACAGAATTTCCTCTCTGGTCCAGTCTTGAATCAACTCGAATTCAAACTTTCGGAATTAATTCTCTCTGAAACGAAATTTCAAATGGAGGAAACAAAAATCGGTCCCTCTCTCTAGACCTATTTTCACGTGTAGAATCATCCTGCGTTATTTTACGATCAAACATTGCTGCGAGTATTTATATAATTAACGACAGAAATACTGCAAGAGAGAGAAATGCTGGTCAAAACCTACATATATATATATATATATATATATATATCGAATAAATCGTATAATCTTTCCATCGTGGTTTATGTTGCCCCGATAGAAACGATCCCTTTGCCGTCTTCTCTCGCCTCTCATTGTTATCGATGAGATAGCGCACGCGTGCAAGAATCGCGTGGGCTTAGGTACCGATACATCGTAAGGGATTAGAGATTACGCGGCAGTCAAGACGACAATCGATCAGCACGTGAATTTCCTACGGGTGGGTAGGTGTTATAACAGCAACGGTTCGACAGTGATCGAGCCGCGTGCGACGTCGCGCATCGGCTTTGTCTTTAATTGCCCCATTAATCAACGTCGAGGCTTTCGCTTTCGCGAGATACAGCCACGAGCACCGACGTCTCTTGTTCGCAGTTATAACGCGACCAAACCTGTACCGTTAACTTATTCGCCGACTTAACGGTTTTTCCGTGCTGCTCTTTCGCGCGGTTAGATGTTCCGCAGATGTCTCTTAACGCGACTTCAACGTGCTCGTGCACAGCTGCCAACTATAGCACGTATTGCGTATAGGAAGTTAGGGGGGGCTCTTACTGTCGTACTTGAACTTTATACACTCAATTCTATTTCTGCAGGACAAATACTGAACAAACAAATGAAAGATTGATTGACCTGTAAATTCATTGAGATTTTATCATTTTTACATCTGCACTTCTCATTTCGCGTATAAATGATCATTTGAAGTGAAGAAGAACATGTCACACGCAAATGTACAGTGAATCACGCACGTGACAAGATTTTACTCGCCATCACTTTCTGACAAGCAAGGCAATAAAAATCACTCCTTGCTTCATCGATGAAATACTATTTTGACGAATCCAGGAACGAATTCAGTTATTAATGGTCGTGTTCGCGTTCTGAATAGTGAGAGATGGAGAAACGATTAAAAAAAAAAAAAAAAAAAAAAAAAAGGAAAAAAAAGAAAACGATTGTGCGCAGGTGCGCGCCTCTCCAAAATTGGCAAACTCATACGAAAGAGTATTTAAATATAGAGAGAACACGTCACCTGTCCTCGCGACAGAGTGGACTCGATTAAGATAATCCCCCGATACTTCGTTGCAAATTTCGTGAGAAATGAAGTTGCCCCGGCGAAATATAAAACGCAAGGCTGCATGACGCGGTATCGAGAATTCCCCCTTTATCCTCTCGCCATCTTTCGAGAGGTGGAAACCACGCAGCTGTTTGCCACGGTGTAAAATCTCCGACGATAAGAGAGGCAAGTGCGGGTTAAAGGAACAAAAGGGCGAAAGTTTGCGGCAGTTTTCTAAGCGTACGGTTTACGAGGCGATGTCTCGTGCCGAGGTCTTACCTGACGCCGAAGGCGATCCCCAGCGCGACGATCAGCGGCAGCAGCGTCGAGATACAGGCTAGAAAAACGGTCTGTATATCTGAGAAACCGGCGAGTATACCTGCAAAAGCGTGTAGAATGCGTTAGTATATCGTGCGTGTGAAATTCACGGCAATTTCAATGGTCCGGCAAGGATCAAGCGATTAAAGTTTCAATGACACGCGAGCGGGGCCTCGGTCACGGCCACTTCGATCTCGCCAATTAAAAATACGCCAACCGCGCGAGAAACGAGAGCAGAATGAATACGCACGCATCTCCTCGCGGTGGCGCGCGTATCTCTCCCCAATTGCGGTGGCACACAACGTGCTCGAGGAAGCTGCGGGGTGATGACGTCGAACGACTAAACTAATCGATAAGTAAGCTCCCCTTGAATTTTTCAACTCTCCAGCGAGGAGGCTCGTCAGAGCGAGCGAAACGAATTAAGGTTACAACGTTAATTGCCGATCTAACCTAAGCTTCGACGTCAACGATGCGTCCCAGAGAGATAGCTCTATCGTCGATCTCGTTTCCACTGACCCTAAAAGCAATGATAAGCGGACAGCTGCGGGACAACAACCGCGTCATCAACGTACAATGAGCTGCGACTGTTTCGCGAGGAGAGAGTCATGGGTGACCGTCGAGCGCGAGAAATGGATCAACTGTTACTTCCGCAAGCTAGTGCCGTTTTATAGAAAGTCCACCTGTCTGTGGAAGAAAGATACGCGCAGCTATTTGAACAGCGAGCACAGACACCGTGCCTATGCCCGAATTCATCGAACCATGGACCTGCCGGGAGTGACTTTGGTGGAGATCGTGTTGAAGATCCGCGAGATGCGTCGCCTCTACGTGAACGAATTGAAGAGGCTGCTGGAGGCGAGGTCGTGTAATCGCTGCTATCGGACCTCGCTACCGTGGTTCTACGATCTGCATCGATTTCTCTATCCGTACCTGGATTA